CTTGATCAGCATAGAAGAGACCAGTGACAAGGACTGTGTAGGTCAATTTTCCATTAGGTTTATTTGGGGCAAGCCATTTTAACTGAACTTCTTTGGATCCCTCAACATTAGCAAATATATCAACTGCTCCCTCGGGGGAAGCTTCCATGGTCCGAGCTTCTACCTGTAAGTTCAACCACAAGATCAAGATTTGTTGCCAGATCAACAGAGAAGGAATGAAAAATGCAAAATTTTAAGAAAAATTATTTCTTTAGGAAAAAATGTAGCTAACACTGGAGGTGTTTTAAGCATCTTATTTTCCTTTCATCTACAATCATTTGAAGCTGTCCAGCACCTAACATACTTTATATGGTGGCGAAAATGACAAACAGGAAATAAATACTGGAAATGAATGAAAGAATAATTTCTTGAAAACACCATTGAACCCCATGCGGATGAATGATCTCAGCTTAACGTTAGGGGATGAAGCAGAAATAGAAGACAAGAAATTTTTTTAGTTTCTGCATTTTAAAAGGCAACTGTAAGGAACATGCATTTAAATGCTGTAGTAAACTACCAGTGATATTTGAAAGAGAAAATGTATCATTTGCGAAGTATTGGTTGCTCCCTGAATTAACTTTTAATTTCACCTAACAAATTTAAGTTGCAATAAAAGGTAGATCTTTAAGCTAAAACAAAAGATGTAATTACTATGAAATATTTTTAAGTGTAAATAAATGAATATTCAATATTATAAAAATTTAGCATTTAAATATCTCATATGGTAAACATTCAGTGCTATGGAACAAAACAATTTGCTATTACGTTATTTATGGTAACAAGTTGGTTTCTCATACATTATTTATTTGGTGTTTTCTAAGTTATAAGATGGTTTCACACCTTTCTAAGTGCCTCTCAACTGCAAGATCATGGGAGTGCTAATAAATGCTATTTTTAATCTGCCACACCTGCTCTGTCATCAAAATAACCAAACACAATTTGTCCTTGAAATATCAATGTTTTACTTTTTTTGTATGTAAAATTTGTAAAGCTTATTGTTTACAAGTGTCAGGCTATATGTTTGATGTGCACCATTATCTTTACACGTGCTTCTATATTTACACAGTCCATTGTATTTAAAATAGGTGAAGAGTGGCAGTAAAGTCAACAGGATAAAGCAGATGCTTAAAGATAAAGAAATTCTTCACGGATTTATTAGAACAGTGCCACATTATTTATTTGTATATTTAAGTCAAAAACAGACTTATGGAAGAATTTGACTAAACTGTGATTTCTAAAAATAATTTCCTGTAAAGTTGTGCTGCTAAATGCAAATACTCTGATCTCACCACAAAAGAAGTGTGGAGAAATTAATATAAATTGTTTTTTCTACTGAAGAGGATTAAAATATTCTTGAAACAGTATGAATTTGTAGCAATTTGGACCACATCCTAACAGCTGCAACATCTGTATTATGTCTCTAGCTTTTTCTTTATGACTTTGTACTCTTTGTTTATAGAATTATTTTGTTTCATTACATGCAATATCTTCTACAGGTACACCTCTGCCATGCATTTTGAAAAGAATATCTGGTGTAAAAAATGTGCATTCTGTATATAAACTTGTTTATATATGGTTTCATATTTCTTTTTCTCAATGTTACTTTATACACACTTCTGAGATAATTTCAGATGTGTTTATTAATAATAAAAATGTTCTGTGATCATAGAAGTAACATTAAATCATAAGATAGGAATAATAATAATATTAGGAAAACATTTTTCCATGTAAGTTAAAAAAAATAAAAAGCAAACACAAGCTAAAAACCTGAAATTTAAGTTTAGTAGCAGTAGGATGAGATGACAAATATCCAGTGTTGACCATTTACAAGAGGTAACACATTTCAAAACCAGCAGAATTTCAGATCTTCTGAATTCCTCTAATGAATCTAGTAGAGGTTACACTATTTCTTCATAATCTATATTTTTATTCCTTTTAAAGCAACAAAAAACAATTAGAACAGTCACAAAAGCAATATCTTGGCTTTATGAGAAAGATTAAAATTTAACATTTCTTAATTTACAGGTGATCAATTTACCTCTCACATGAAAACAAATCATAGTTAATGGAAAAAAAAAAGTTAAACAAAAACTATCTAGCCCAAATAAGTTAATGAAACACAGTAACTGCTAATGCTCTCATAACTGATTGAGATCTTCAGAGCCACCTTCAGAAATATAAACTGGAGAAAGCCCATATTTAGGATAGTCACATAGCATTTGTTCGTCGATTAGGGCACATTAAACACAAGAGCAGCAAAGAAAATAGCTGAAAGCATAACGGTTTACTGCTGGGAGATGTTTCACATGCTATTTTGAGTAGAGGAAAAACAGTTGGTTTTGTGTGGTTGTTTTTTGGGGGTTTTTTGTTTGTTTGTTTTTAAGTGTTGGATTTATTCTGTAATTGAAATAAACATCTTTCAAGAAATCAAATGAAGAAGCAGTGCTTTAACTCCCTGGAAGCACTTAGGTGAGCCTAAATAAAGATGTTGTACTTCAATTCCTGTGATTAGAGATGGATCACTGGCTTTGGAAAACAGTTTGCGTGCTGATCATGGGATGCAGATGTGTATCAGCTACAGCGACCCCTACTTTGAACCGTTTCGAAAGTCAAGTTATGAGTCTGCAGTTCAGTGGAGGTGTGAAAAAAGGCTACTAAAAATATTTTTTTTTTTTTAAATTTTAACTATTGTCATTGTGTTCTGTCATTTTGATGCCTATTTGGTAAGACAGAAGTACTGAAAACATACATATTTCATCTGTATGCAAAGTCTGATAACGACTTGTCTTAAACATCACTACTAACACAGTGGATTAGGTTATTGAACACTGAATACCTTGAAACAAGGTTTGCTTTTTGGGTATATGTGAAGTTGTAAAAAATGTACAAGAAAAACTGGCAAAAAGCCATTCAAGCTTTTAAGAGTAAATATCCTTCAAAGTTGAGCAAGCTATAAAACATTTAATGGTTATAAAGTCTAGTTTAGTCGTCTTTTACAGATAGACAATGTTACCAGAAAGAATATTGGAAATGTGGCTAACGAGTTATATCATAAAAATAAAACCTGGAAGTTCTTTCCAGAGCACAATATAGTGATGTCATAAATTATGCTGGAAAAAGAAACAAAACAACATGAAAAATTCACAAATCTTCCTTGTTTTTTTTCTTCCTTTTCTTGTTAGCAAAATTAAAAGTGCACACAAAAAGCTGAATTAAATGAAAAAAATAAATCTCAGAATTAAGCCAGTTTCTTTCTCAGTTATGCCTGAAAAAAAAAAAACAAACCCAAGCACAGTAGGTGATATTCCAGTTATTCATCAGCTACAGTACTATGAAATCATACTGGATTTTCAGTTCAGCTACACAACTAAAAACCTTTAACAAAATAAAAAACAATCCTCAGAAGGCTTGTTTTTCACATGTCAAATTTAATATTCCCATATTCTCAAATCCTGAAAAAATGAAGTGTTCTACAAGACTGTTAAAATGTCTGGTATAATATTTCAATCACATACTTGCATTCAAAAGATATTTACGGATCACCATGTTTTCCTTGCTCCTGTTGCCACTTCTGGCTTCTGCAGTTCTCAAATTAACTTCAGTCCTTTCAGTCAGGCAGCTAGAAATTTGCTCATTACTGGAACAGTAACTCTTTCTGTATATATGTCCTTATAAATCTGACTGAAACACGTCTGCACTTTTCAAACATATTAACTCTATTTAATTTCACTAATGTGTGTTTCAGCCTCCAGTTTTGCCTTTCTTCACTGTACCTATGTTCTGCTTTGGAACGGTGCCTAACAATGACCTATCAAATCTTTAGCAGCTCTTAAACAGGACTTTTTCTTAAATGTCACATTTTGCCAGATGGGTTAGTACTGACCAGAGTGAATCATCACCATTTACTCTGATATTCACTGCCATCTGACATTTATTATACTCCCAGAATGCAAATTAAGGTACTCACCAATGGACCCAAAGCACAACCTTTTGCAGTACATGCCTGGATTCTGAAGGAATGCAGACTCCAAGGAGCAAGTCCATAAGCATAACAACTTAGCTGTGATGAATTTTGCATCAGAACACCATCCATATACAATACGTAGCTAGTAATAATACCTATAAAACAATGTGATAGTACTCAGTATCTAAAGGGCTACACAGTTTAGAAGAAAACTAAAGCTACAGACATTAGTGTGGTAGTAGCTGTGTTTCAAACAGTTTACAGTTAAGCACGTAAGTGTTTAGCAGGACCATCTGTGCAACACTTAAAAGAAACACACTCTCCCATCTTTAACTGTTGAAAAGCTTGCAAGTGGATTGCATCTTTTGAAAACAATTACACTGCTCCAAAGATTAACCCTAAACAAACTTGTTTCTGAAGAGCAGCTAACAGCACCTTGGAATAAGGGAAACTGAGGCAATTCTGTTTCACAGACTACTCTGCATATGGCTATTGAAAAAATAATTGCAAAGACAAATAAAATCATCTCACATCTTAACAGCTTTAGACTTAGAAAAATAAAAAAAGCAATCTACAGCATAATTGAAGCTTGAAGGACAACTCAGGCCAATGCTGTAACCACAATAAATCAGTAACAAATAATTTTATCACATAAAACACCTTATTGACACTCATTATTCATAATCATATTTTCTGCATTTGGTCAACAAACTAGATACTACAATTCAGGAGTGGTGGAGTTTGGTAGACAGTTTTACTCACTCTTCTAAACAAAACCACAAAATAGTATGGATTGCTGTTTACTCCTCAGTATGCAATAGAAAAAGTCCTGAACTATTCCCTACTTGTTCAATCTAAATAAAGAAAACATATTTGTGAACTCAAAACAAGCATTGGCAAAACTTTTAGACAGAGGAGAGAATGGTCCTCCTGGTGTAATTGCCTAAAACTAACTCAAAAATCTCAGTTGATTGCTTATCTCATTAATACGGAAATCTAAATCTCTGATCTTCCAAAGGCACATGATAGTATAGCATGAATCCTGTATAGACTATACAAACACTGCGTTTTGAATTTAATGAACTAAAGACTGAATTTTACAGATTTGCTTAGACTTTGGCAGTTGAGCTTGAAAAGCAATCATTTTTCTCAGAGCTATTCTTCCGTCTTTCTCATTTCTGTATGTTCACCTTTTTTAAAAGCTATTTCAGTGTGAAATCTTAAGGCCAATAAATGCAAATCTACAGGTTTCATTAGAAGTGCGTTCAGTTCAGAGGATGTCTTCTAATCTTCCTGTTATAGAAAACATCTTCGTATTGTAAAAACATAGCTCTGTTCACTTTCCTTCTCTTAAAAATGAATTGTTTGAAACTACATGGAGGAAGTTTCTGTTTGAATTTAAAAAAAGATTTCCCCCTCTACTGAATTGAGAAATGCTTCATAAATAAGAGTATATACACAATGGTTTCACCTGAGATCTGAAGACTTATACTTTAAAAGATTTATAGACTAAAGCAATGCAGAGCTGAGTATGGTGAAGTGCTTCACAGACTCCTCAATACTTTTCTCTTCTAGAAAAGCAAGAGGCTAAACTCAGACAGCAAAACGTGTGTGTGTGAGAAAGTCCTGGTAAATCTCACACTATCAATCCTACCACATTTGACAAGCTTCCTAAAGCAAAAATCCCTTGGGATTCCGTGCCTAGTTTCTTGTAAAGCAAGGGTATTAATGGTTGATATTTTCTCTACATAAATAAATAAATAGATAGATAGATAAATAAATATATATTTGTCTCAGAGGGAAAATGTGAATGCTGGCATTAAGGATGTGTTTTGCAGGGGAAAAAAACCCCACTCAAGTACTTTAAGTACCAGTAGTACTAACCCTTTAAAGTAATGGACAAATCATTATTAATTCCTTTAATATTTATGGTAACAGCATGACTCATAATGAAATCATTTGATATTAATGTGGGTGTCATAGGTACCTCTATAGGGTCCTCACTGTAACTCAGTATTAATTAACTGGACAATTATTTTAAGGTGTTTTTTAAAACTACAGCACTGTGCAGCATCTACACTGAGGAGCACCTTGCTGGGCAACACGGTGAGCTTTTGTTAGTCCTCCCAGTACTGTCAGAGAACAATCATCTCTAATAAGCTGATCCGTTATCACTTGATTTTACTTCCTTATTTGCCTTATATGACTCTGATGGAGAAAATTACAGAATAAAAAGAAAGAACACAGAAAAAAAGGGCTAGTAGTCTGACTTTGAGATGTTAGGCCATTTTTCTAAATTAGGCAATAATTCTTTTTGGTCATGGATAAATAATTTAGCCTCTGTGTTTGACCAGTATACATTTCCAAAAAATACTCAGAAAAAGTTCAAAGTTGGCCCAAAGTTTATGTACTTCTCAAGACTCGCTAGATATTCCTGAAGGTTATCATCCATGAAATATTGAAGACTATAGCACATTTTTGTGATTTAGAAGGCTTCATGAGTGACACATGATCACCATGAAAAGATGAAGTTTCTTCATAATTGTTAAGACTAGGTAGTTAGATTAAACCTTATTTTCACTGAAGACAAAATCTTTATTGACTATAGTACAATTATGTTTCCCTTTCGAAAAGAAATCCAAAAATGCAAGTTAAACTGAAGAAATGCACACACTCTTCTATTTTTCTTCCTCCTCTCCCATCCCTGGGTAAGGCCATATAATCTGTTAATGATATTCCAGATATTAAAGATGAAAAGAGGTTTTGAATCCGAAGTGCTACAAGCACTTTACTCTTAAGGTACAATCTAGAGGTCAAATCTTAAGCAAACGTCCTTTTACCTACATCAATTTCACTGACTACAAACACAAGCCGTCTCTCGCAAGCACAAGGATTTGCAGGAACAATTACTGGATTAGACCACTGAATAATTTTATTAATCAGTTTTTACTATGTCTAATATTTCCGATACAAATTCCACATAGCCTTGGAAGATACAGTCCTGATCAAGACTTGATTTTATCTATGACCCGTACACAAATAAAGGGAAGTTTTTAAGAAGTGACCATCTAAGTAAAATTTTCAATGGTAAAAAGACATAAGGTCACTTTTTTTATCTGAAAATATTTTAAAAGAGCAGACCTCAAACTATATGGCAAGTCGATAATAGATACGTTCTGAAAAATATATGATTCTTAATTGAGACCATTAGAACAGTGAAGGCTCAAAAGAGAATATTTGATGCCACATGTCATTTCACAAGCCTCTCCATATTGTGCCCTCATCTAGATGGTCAATATTGCTTATATTACATTAACTACATATGTGACACGTATGTGAAAGAAACAGATGAGGGATCTGCTGTAAAGTGGCATATCTCTGGGTCTTGTCACAGAATCACAGAATCAGTAAGGTTGGAAAAGACCTATTAGATCATCTAGTCCAACCATCAACCCAACACTACCATACCCAATAGACCATGTCCTCAAGCACCATGCCTACATGTTCCTTGAACATCTCCAGGGATGGTGACTCACTCCACCACTTCCCTGGGCTACCTGTTCCAGTGCCTGACCACAGTGAAGAAGTTCTTCCCAATATCCAGTTTAAACCTCTCCTGGCACAACCTGAGGCCATTTCCTCTTGTCCTATCATCAGTTACCCGGGAGAACAGGCCAGCACCCACCACCCTACACCCTCCTTTCAGGCAGCTGTAGCGCGCAATTAGGTCTCCCCTCAGCCTCCTCTTCGTTAGGCTAAACAACCCCAGCTCCTTCAGCTGCTCCTCACAAGACTTGCGATTTCCCATTTTTAATTAAACTAATTTTTTTCCACAAAATAATGTAGATTGGTTTTAAATTCAACCAAAAATGGAACAAAAAAATGCAATACCTATGTTCGGACAACATTAGCCTTTGACATCTAGGTGGTCCCTTATCTCAAAGCTTGACTCCCTGCATTGTGCCATCTTTATGAAGAAACCCAGTTGCCTTTAATCCTATTTGCCACCTGTGGCCTCAAGGGTAGCATTTTAATTCCCCTTAACTTTTCCTAATTGTTGGCAAATATCTGTACTCCATATATCTCTAGAGAGTATAGTAAAGTCTATGCTGTCCAAACCCCAGTCAGCCTACACACCCAGTCAACATCAACAATAGCTAATAAGCTTCCTCTGCTCATGGAAATAAACACTAACTTCTGCCATATAGTATCAGAAGAAAGGACTAGGGTGATAAATTAGGTAAATAAAGGAATGGCCCCAGGGATCTACTAAGGTGATGACAATTTATGATATGCAAATCTTTGCAGTTCTGAGGTTTCCACCTGAAACAAAGCAGTAATCTGTGGATGTTAGCTAAGTTGTGGGTGCCCCATCCCTGGATGCCTTCAAGGCCAGGTTGGAGGGGACTTTGAGCAACCTGGTTTAGTGGAAGGTGTTCCTGCCCATGGCGGGGGTGTTGGAACTGGGTGATCAAAGTCCCTTCCAACCTAAACCATTCTATTATTCTATGAATTTCAAAAAGCACTACTTACATTAAGTAGACTGAAAATCACCATTTTTGAATTAATTAAGTCAGAAGTGGGAAACAGTTTCTATCTTTTTGAAAAACTAGAACTTCTAACTGTGAGAATACACCAATAAAATGCTGAAGAAAATTTAAGAAGTTGTTCCTTTTGCTGGTCTTTCTTATATTTCAGTCTTCTGAACTAACATATTTTTCAGACTCCTACACAGTTTTACAATACTAACACAGAGAGTGATTATAAATAACATGGCCACTGGGCAGCCCAAAAGATATGCTGAGAATGAGCAAAACAAGATCACTGAACAATGCAAGCTTTCCTGATTAAGCAGTTGCTCAGTGAAAAATTTCAGAGCTTATATATTCTTCTTTTCTTAAAGTTATTTTGTGACATAAAGAAAGGGAAGGCAATAGGAAATTGGAAAGAAAGAAATAGGAGAATGGGAAAATGTGTTATTAGTTATATGCTCTTCTTGAAATTCCAAAATAATGGGGGAGAAGAAAGAAATGAGAGAAGACCCGCATATCTTTTCTTGACCATTGTGCAAGTGTGAGCATGCTATGATGGAAAATCAAAGTCCCTGCTCCCCTTATGCCCTTCTGGCTGCCAAATGCTCATGAGAGCGCAATTCCACCCTTAACCACTCAGAAAGAGCTCACAGGTGAAAAGCAGCAGCCTTTCCCTGCAAGGCAGGACAACGACAGCTGACTTCGCTGAATCCCTTCCATCAGTTCTGAACCTAAGAAAAACCCTCTAACAGCAACATACTTTGTATACGCATATTACCAAAAAATAACAACAGTACCATGGAGAAATAAGGGCTTCAAAGAGTGAAAAGATATGAAAATACCGAAGAATATTTTTAAAAGGGAGAAACACACACAGGAGGCCTACAAAGGGTGTATTCAGGATTACAGAAGAGTAGGTTATATGGCAAATTAGGTAATTACCTAAATGCATTGTTCAAAACTCCAGTATAGAGGTGAAGTGGTGTCATCTAGGCTGTTGAAAACTCCATTTGCCATAGATGAAGGGACAAGAGACAGAAGAACATAACATTTTTTTTATAAAGTTCCTCTCTTTCTTATAATTTCTGTTGCTCATCCAGTTCAGATTCACAGCTTTCTTAATAAGCTATTTATTGTTTTACATAGAATCAGAGAATCATTTAGGTTGGAAAGGACCTTCAAGATCATTGAGTCCAACTGTTAACCTAACTGCAAAGACCACCAGTCAACCATGTCCCTAAACACCACATCTACACGTCTTTGAAACAGTTCCAGGGATGGTGACTCAACTACTTCCCTGGGCAGCCTGTTCCGATGTCTGACAACCCTTTCTGTGAAGAAATTTTTCCTTTTTTCCAATCTTAACCTTCCCTTGTGCAATCTGAGGCTGTTTCCTCCTCTATCACTTTTTACTTGGGAGAAGAAACCAACACTCACCTCTCTGCAACCTCCTGTCAGGGAGCTGTAGAGAGCAGTAATATCTCTCTTGAGCCTTCTCTTCTCTGGGTGAAACAACTGCAGTTCACTCAGCCACTCCTCACAGGACTGGTGCTCCAGACCCTTCACCAGCTCCACTGCCCTTCTCTAGACACACTCCAGCACCTCAATGTCTTTTCTGCAGCGAGAGGCCCACAACTGAACACAGGATTCAAGGTGCAGCCTCATCAGTGTCCAGTACAGGTGGACAATCAAACCCCCACTCCTGCTGGCCACCCTGTTCCTGACGCAGGCCAGGATGCCGTTGGCCTTCTTGGCCTCCTGGGCACACTGCTGGCTCATATTCAGCTGTTTGTCAACCAGCACCCTCAGGTCCTTTTCAGCTGGGCAGCTGTCCAGCCACTCTTCCCTAAGCCCATGGGGCTGCTGTGACCCAAGTGCAGGACCCAGCTTTTGGCCTTGTTGAACGTCATACAGTTGGCCTTGGCCCATCAAACCAACCCGTCCAGTTCCATCTGTACGGTACTCCTACCATCAAACAGATCCACATTCCTGCCCAGACTGATGTCTGCAAACTACCTGAGGATGCCCTCAGTCATTTCCTAACAAACTATTTATTGTATTTAAATGGAGAGACAAGCTGTACATAGTAAATGTGGTATTAACTAGATGAAACTATGTAAATTTAGTCATGTGTTCCCAACTTCTGGTTGTTTTAAAGGAAGCTTGTGTAAATTTATTTATCAAACTATAGGTCTTTATCTTTTGCTGTTGATATGCATATAAAAATGTATGTATTTATATATTTATATTTATTTGATTAGTTAAACCACTCTCTAAACTATTTGGATTTTTTCCCCCAGTGCAAGGATAACAACATCTGGTCCTGACATAAACAATTACATGTCAAAAACACCCATTTAATAGAAAATTATTCAGACTTTAGCCACAAAGCCACATTACTTCCTCCCCTTCCTCAACCCCCATGCTTTTTTCCTTCTTCCTTGCCTTCCTCTAAGCCTCTGCCACATATGCTGATGAGATTTTAGAAAAAAAAGTTAGAGGGTTTCCAAGGGGCTAGGAGGCAAAATCTTCCAATAGGACTCCCATACAAAGAACCATAAATTATCAAATGAATTATTTAAGAGCAGATTACATACTCGTCTTTCTAAAAGTACTGTAAGAACTTACAGGTTATTACAAATACATAGCTTTGCAATCACCAGTTTTTTGGGGGAATCATTTAAAGTGCCTCATAGTGAAGTTGTACAGGTAGGATGAGCTCCATCACTACTGGAAGCAAGGAAAACTTGCAGGGGGAAAAATAAATTCATGTGAAATCACTGTGAGAAATAATTGACTTACATCAACATGATAAGCTAATGAAAAACAAGGTATATGTTGCTTTAAACTCAGTGATTTCTGCATAGTTTGCTCAGCTGTGATTTAAATTGTTACATGCAGGGTAATAAAATCAAGGTGAATTCCAAGGCCTTACGATACTGTGTAATATTATTAGAAATGTAAAATTTGTCCAGAAGTTTTACATATGGATATTTCACAATGAAAAACATTTCTGAACAAAAGAAAGGATATTATTTAACTTCCACAGCTATGGAAGTGTACACCTTCAAGGTGACTACATAGAACACAAATCTAATTATTATTATATATCAATTAATGTAAAAGAAACAAATATTTTATTGGAGGGTGAAATTAACATCCTAGAATGATACTATCCAAGAATGCTTATTGCTCAGCTCAGTTGTCCTGAAAAACATTAAACAATGAGATGTAGTACACAAGAACTATCAAAAGGGAGCACTTTTGAGCCACTGAAACTGTACGATAGGCTGAAAACCACAATCTCCTGCTGCAGACAATGATACTATCTCAGGTATTTTATGTGCTAAAATGATCATTAAAAATTAAGCACCACATATAAGCTGCCATTTAGAATATTAATTTACCTTTACTAATCATCTTTTTAACTTGAGGCTAAAAGAGTTCACTTACCATTCGGATACTCAGGCTTAGTCCATGAGATGTTAAAGGAGTCAGATGAATATGACTGGGCTTTTGGAGCAGGAACACCTTCTGGTGTACTCTCATCTGTTATAGCTGTGCTAGCTTCACTTACTGAACATCCACCTCCAGTGCAAGCCTTAAAATATGAATCAAAAACCCCAAACATATTTCAGTGTAATACCAATAATATCAGCAATTATTTTTTGTACAGTTTTATAAATTTTACATATCTAAACTTAGTAAGTCTGTACATTTCACAGAAGATAATTTTCCTAGCATAGATTTGTTTACCTCTTTTCTTAAATAACAAGGTGTGATATTCATGATACTTAGTTTTTAGGTATAATAAGCTAAAACATTATACTAGTGCAGCATTTTGCATTTGACTGTGAGTCATAACCACAAGTAGATTTCCACTGTTTTCGCAACCTCAGTTAAAGTAAAATTAAAGTATAATGTATATCGTTTGCAGTGCAAAACTCTTCTGGAATTAACTGAAAAGCTCTCAAAAGTTCCAGACACAAAATATACTGACCAAGTTGTAACACACTTCAAAAATTATTTCAATGAATAGTCATTGGGGAAAAAAATGTTATTCAGACAGTCCTGCACTTCATGACAGCACACAGAGTGATGTGCAGATGCAATTAAAATAGTGAAAAAACAGTCTATTATAATTCAATATGTAACAATAATTATTACATGTTTATGGATAAGAGTCAAATCATTTGTATTTCTGTTATCAGAGAAGAAAAGATTGATTGCATAATTTTTACATTTTGCTTGTTTATGAAACAATACAATGTACAAAAAATGTGCATATCACCCTATATAACAGGGTTTTAAAGTTTTACATGCACAAATACAAGACTACACAGCTATGGTCCTTATGTGTGCTGGTTTTCCAATTACTTGCACTAAGATCAATGACAAGAGAAAGGAGTTCTTAAACAATTTTTTTTTTAAAATCGCAGGAATATAGGAACTCTGTACTGGATTTGAATATTTTTTGTTTAGTTTATTGCTTACATTTAACTTTATTGTTTAGCAATAAAATAAATCAAAACCTGAATTCAACAAAGATTCAGATTCAGACACACTCTTAAGTAAAACTTACAGTATCACCTGTGTTTTTAGGAGTTGCTCATTTGTTGAAGAGGCCAAGCAGCCCACTCTGGATCATCAGCACACAAATGAAAAATAACCTCACTGTTCAGATCTTCAGGAATCAAATACTTTTCTCAGTCTAGTATATTTTATTTGAAAGGATTAGCTGTAATTTCCCTTTTCCCAGTGTGTTTCAAATCAGAGAGCAGTCCACATATTTCCCACCATGCTCCAAAAGTGTATACAAGCCCCATGCGTAAAAATAAGAACTGTTTGTAAATTAGGCTATTCTATACACCAAAAAGGTTGTTATTTCACTGGAAATTGCACTCAAAACACAACTACAGAATGGCTCCCTGTGTTCACTCTGGGCTATCAAATAAAGATGAAAGGATGCAGCCTCAGTTTTGGAAACATCCAAAAATGGCATTTACTTTAAACATGATGGTGTAGTCTAAAAAAATGTCAGCTTAGATGGATGCTCAGATAAGTGTTAGCATTTTGATAAGGAAAATCATCTAATAAAGAACATCATCTTTCCAGCAAAGGCAGACCATTCTTCAGATTATTAACTTCTACTGAAGCCAAAAAGACCAGTTCTGAAGGACCTCTTCCTTGTACATTCCTTACTGCCTTGCTAAACAAGTTCCACAGTCTTTTTCAGCAGTGGAGGGCTTTTTCATTTGAGGGCTTGGTTACAGCAGCCTTCCCATTCATTTATTTCATTAATTTAAGGAATAATAGTATTTGTATGTCCTAAACTTGTCGGGGTATGAAGTTTCTGATTCTTTTAATGAAAATCAGTAAAATAAATTAGTGCATCCAGACACACTGGACATTGCTGGGACTCTGACAATCACATCCAGTGATGCTCAAAGCCACAAAATCCTACACACAGATGGAGCCCCATTGTGCCATTCTGAACTGAGAAACAGGCAAAATTTGCAAAAATACCCAGGTGTCTGGAGAGCCAAGGGACAGATACAAACCGCATAAAAAGACACCACACAGTGATCCTCCAGCTAACACCTGAGCTAATTTATGCACACAACACAGCCCTGAGGAGATATATTAGCTTAACAGTTAAATCACAAAAGCACTCAAGTCATATAAATGGGTGCGCCACACCAGCTACTAAATGCAGCCTTTCAGCTTTTTAAGTGTATTTCATGTGTTTATATTAAAATTGCCATAAAAGAGTTCAAGTCATCAACCTGTCAGGTGCTGAAAGTTCTGCTGATGGGAATCGTCATTCCAGTATTCAAAGCTGCAACTTTTGATAACACAACTTCCAATTACCCACATCAAATAAAACCAGGGGTTTTTTGCATGGATGTAAAATAAAATTAATAAAACCCGAGAAACAAGGAAAAGAAAAAGGATCTAGCTGACCAAAATAAACCAGGAAGCATTTAATTAAGTTTCTGGTGTTGAAGGTATGCTATTGTTGGGGTTATTTAAAAGCTTTATTGAAATTCAGATTAAATTATATCTGAAGCACCAAATATTTCAATTTCTTTCCAGGTGCATGGGTTTGATATGTGGTGTTTGTTTGTTGTTGGTTTGCTTTGGTGGTGGTTTTTTGGTTTAGTTTTTGGGGGTTTGTTTGTGGTTTTTTGTTGTTGGGTTTTTTTTTCCCTCAAGTATAACATTTGGCCATTTTTAAGCTTCATAACTTGTAAACCTCTCATACTATATCCTTCTCAAACTTGTCTGACAATTCTAAATACAATGGGTTCAAATGTTTTAAGAAAGCTATCCCCTCAAAGATATTGGGCATTTTATCCACTTTTGCCATTTTCAAATGTGAAAAGACATTTAGATCTTCTAACCTATCACAGACCACTGCATTTTATGCAACGAAGTCTGCCAGAAGAAATGATGTGTCCCCAGTGCACAGGAGACTGGGCAGGAGTAGGGAAGAGCAATGGCACAGTGAAGGACAGCACACATTCTTTTGATAGTCCCACTTGCTTATAAAGGCATAAAATGCTTATTGAAGTACTACCTTAGTTTTAGACATGGTGCTATTATAGATGCTGTACAATTTACTATGCTGAAATGTCTAAGCACAAATGAATTAATTTCAACATGAATCTAAGCTTTAATTAGACTGAATACCCTTGCTTTTTCAAGTTCAAGTCAAATCCTTATCATTACCTGAAGGTAGTTTTATTTTTTGTGGTATAATATTTAGAACATTCAAGAGCATGTTAAGAAAAAATGAATGCATACCCAGTCTACATAAATGTAAATTTATTCATAATCAAGAGCAGAATATTTTTCTATGGCATTTATCAAAGCAAATATCCTTATATAGGTATTGTTATAAAATGAAGAGTGTGCCTAAAACAAGGGACAATCCCATGCTTTCATGCACATATTTTCAGTTTTTTAGTGAGCTGAAGCTGTTCTATTTCATCACAAAATAAAACAAACTATAAAGGAATACAATGAAAACACTGAGGTCTTTTAAAATGTTTTCAATAAACAAACTGTTACTTTACACTGAACTCTTTTCCTCTTTGCTATTTCCTTCTAAATACAGATTTTATGAAGAAAGAACAAATTATCTTGGTACAAAACACAAAACATTTGCAAAAACATTCAACATTTTCTCATAGGTTGGGGCAGAAGACATTTTTTTTAATTCTTTCACATATTTCTGGTCAATTCTCTATCAGATACCATCCAACTTATCCTTGAAGAAAATCTGTATTTAAATTACACATTTTTTTTATGGTCTGTTTTGAAACAAAACACCTACTTTTGTTCAGGATGGTTCATCCACCTTACTTTTGGAAAGAAGAGGTTAAACAACGTGGACACATGAACCATTGAGTATTTAAGATGTTAACAAAATCAGAATAATTTTCACCATTTCACATTTCCACTACACATCTTTAAAACTTACAGCTAGTTTTATGAGGTATTCAGTACCCGGGAAAAGCTGCTGAATAGTAAAATCCAGAAAAAGTTCTGTGTTGTTATAGATTACATTCCACTTTGTAAAATTCTGCTCATTGTTGGCAATATAAATTATATAGCGTTCTAGGATTCCATTTAGTTCTACTGGGTCTTTCCATCTGCAAACAAAAGCAAAACATGATTAAGACCAGCAAAGATTCAGACCATACTGAAAAACATAAGGCTTTATTTAGGGGACTTTGTGGGATTTATTTTAAATATTTGAAAACATAGTTTTGCAACCATAAAAATAAATCTAAGGCATACCTCTAACGCAGTGTTTGTACCCAATAAATAAATGATTACAGTAACACACAAAGCAGGGACTACAAAACGGGCATCACCGGAACATTTCCTGCACTGAAGTTTGCAGAGGCTATGCCCATATGTAGGTTATACTGATTGCGTAAAGACAAAATGGAAATTAAGTTGGCAAGTGATAATCAGAAGGTTCACAGAACCACTAAACTAATCACTTCTATGCATTTAATCATAATAAATTTAATTTTATGTCACAAACCCTTCCCCTGATTGAACTCACTGGAATTCTTGAATAAACTGATGCACCATTGTGTTGTCAGGAAAGAAGAAATCCTTACTTACTGTACATATATCGTTCTAGAATCCAAAACCGTCAGGACTGGGGCATCTACATGAGATGGTGGCAGCTGTGCTGTAAACAAGGTGACCTGGGAACTGTTTGTACAGCCAGCAACCGTGCATGCAGTGAGCAGAAATTGGTGTGGCTTAAAAACTGCTAAATCTAGGGCAAAAAAAGAACAAGAATTTAATTTGTATATTAATTTCACCTTATTTTTCTGTAACTTTCAGAAGGTAGTGAATTCAGAAAATCAAGAGAAAGAGGCACCTGTATCTCTTAAATATTTCAGATTATTGCCAGAGGAGTGAATAGGTGCTGGCTCTTTAATAGCAAACAACTGCAAATTTGGACTGCTAATAGATCTACAGAGGACGCTTTGGTAGAAATGTCCCATTGTACAGTACATTTACACTAGAACATACAGCATCCAAACAAACCAAAGATGTTAGCTTCTTCGGTGCCACATACTATATCAATTTGTTACAGTGGAAAATGAACACCTTTAAGATGATTAAATCAATCAAATTAATGGAAAAAGTAGTACAAGTTAATTAACAGAGCCAGATTATACATTTTTTTTTTAAATGTACTGCATGATACATGAATGTCAAGCATCAATACATAGAATGATTCAGTCCTTGCAGATTTCCCTATAAGCATGCGGAAAGAAAGCTCACTGTTGCCACTACTTATACTGGTTTGTTCTCTCTTTGCCTGTTTGCCTTCAGCTGCACGATCATCAAACATTTGTAAAATATATTTCAGTAAAAAAAACCTCTTTACTATGGCAAAACTACTGTTAAATAATTATTTATTATGAAGCTATGTTGAGTTTAAATTACTGCAGAAACTGGTGAATAAAACGTAGCATCTTTAGTGAACAAATACGCTAAAAGATACATTTAGCTTCATGTGTTCTTCCCTGGACTAATAGAGAAATATTTGTCAGAAAAAAAATTAGTAGGAACGTAATACAGACATAATTTTCTTACTTTTTAAATTTTTTTTATTAAAATACAAATCTCAGATTTTAATGACCAAATCCTTTAAGAAGGAATTTACAATTGAGGTTTTGCCAACAGTATAAAGTATACAAGTAAAATGCGTATGTTTTAGATACACATTTTCAGTGTGCCAGAAAAGTTCTGTGTTTTTGGAAGACAAACCAGATGCGAGTGTTTTCAGAGCCAAATACCATCAAGCTATCATTTTGTACAAAAATATTTGTGAGCACAAATTCAAAAATTGCAACTGGATGACAAAGACATCACTGAGGCAGAAATGTGGCAGACTCAACTGCTTTCTCATTAGTTTTTCCCTTCATGTAATGTCCCCAATGCAATGGAATTCCTTCTGATTTATCCCACTCTGTGTGAGAAGAGAATAAATGTGTGCATTTTTACTGAAAACACAGTATGACTCAGTATTGTTCTATGGAGCACATGGCAGTGTAAGTTAAAAAAAAAAATGCCATAACTAAAAAAAAAAAAAATCATCAAGTGAATGCCTGCAACACAGTGACATGTTTAATCAACATAATGGGGCTGATTCTACCAGGGTTAAGCAGTGCTTATGTGGGTGAGAGTGGGAAAGCACACTCCAGAGCAGGTGCTCAAGCTGGCTCAGCAGGCAGAGAAAGTAAACTCCACATACTGCACTGACTCCATTGCCCTCATTAGCGTACACCTTCCCGGATCCCTTGTTCCTTGTGGCTGCCATCAGAGAAGCCACACAACATACAGATGGAGATGGAATCTGTGTGACAAGTATCAGATACTCCATGTTCCGGGTGGGCAAACAAGTGTCCAGAAGGATTTTACTTTCAGCAATCCTAAAACAAACAGCTGAAAGCAACCCATGGCACCCACTTAATTCATATCCTCAGAAACACTGAATACAGATTCCTCTCTCTATGCTGAAACTGTGTGGGGCTTCACTTAACAGGCTGACTATAACACAAGGGAAGGGAGAAGCCAAAAAGAAAAAGTGGATTCCTCCTTTTCCATTTATCACAGATTACCATTTTCCTTGTACACAGATTTGGGATGGGGGTTAGGAGAGGTATGTTTTTCTCCTTAAAGAAAAATTTCTCATCAAGGAGCTGCACTTATTTTTAAAAAGTAGCTTGTACTGAAACCCTGATTTGATGTATGCTGTAGCTGATCAGACTACTTGTATGCATAAGATTTTCTGGAAATACCTAGTAAAATTTGAAGAGGGAGGAACCTTGTCAAGGATGAAGAGAATAGAAAAAGGAAAAATGTTTTAGATCCCTCCCTGGAAGAAACAAGCGGCTCTAAGTTATTTTGTGTGTCTCAGTGTCCTGAATGGAAAGAGCAAAAAGACAAGAAAGGGACACAGTCCGTTTAAAAGAACAGGAATAATAAGGAATGGAAACACAGAATATATGAGCAGCAAGATCCTTCAGCATCAACAGATAAGCACACTGAGAGGGAAGGGAAGGACAGGAGAGGTTAAAAAAAGAGTAGAAAATAAAACATGGAAAAAAGAAACGTCACCAGCATCAAAGGAAATCTTTATTCCTCATTTTGATTTAATAACGTTATTGTATTTTGACTAAAAAATGCCAAATCGAAAGTTTCAGTGGAATCGGAAAGACTTTGGTGGAATAAAGGCTAAAAAGAAAAATTTAATTAGTGGAAGCAGGAGAAGAAAACACAAGAAATGGAAACTTAGGGATGTTGCCTAAAGGGTGAGCTTTGCGGTCAATGAAAAACTCTCCACAGTCTTCAGCAAGGTCTGGATGAGCCTGCAAATACAGTGTAGGTAGCATTTCAAAAAGCTTAGAACCAGAAACTGACAAACTGAACAATAAAAAGCATGTTACATCATAAATTGATGCAATTATTTGTCACAATCTGATTTGGCAGATACTTTCCTATTTAAAGTTCAAAGTGTGTTCATAATGGATCAATGGATTAAACAACTAGAGATATGAACATGAATCTGAATGAGGAGGGAGGAGGTTCTTAAAACTACAAAGCCATTGTTTGTCAAGGTCCTCTAGCAACAACGCCTTGTTTTCCATTTGCTTGATTGCATGATTTGCATAAGATCAAGTGTAGGCAATTGTGGACATGAAAAACAGATAGCTCTCAAACACATTAGAAATGGATCCACAAGCATTATCCAGAAATGTGTTACAAGAAAATGCAACCCAGTGCACGGAAAACTCAGTGATTAATGTCAAACAAACAGTAATTTGCAACATACAGCATGAATTACATGTTATTTTACAATTGATTTCCTGTTGTAGCTGGAAGAATTCTCCTGATCACAGTTTACAAAATGTTTCTGACTCACAGTAAGACTTCAAAAGTTGTTATTACACATTTGCTGCATCAGGTTATATTCCTGTGTGTTCCATGATTTCAGTCAAATGCTTCTTATTGCAATTTTCCCATAACTACTCTCTTAAATCACTTATTTCTTACCAAAACAAAGCTAAACTTAAAAATCATAGAGGTTTACTGAGAAAAAAATGTAATTTCAGCATTTGGTCTTGTACTCACTTCTGGACTCAGAAGGGAATAGAGCAGCAAAAAACCAAAGAAAAAAAAGACTCTTTCTTAAAGGTGCAGGATTCCTTCAAATCATCCTATTAAGGGAGCAAGTAGCCAGAAAAATAATACTGTACTTTTCACGTCAAAAGAAGAACAAAATAAGAAAACTAAAATAAAGCCCCACATATCTGTTTTAAAAAGAAAAACTGGGGGGGTGGGGGGGTGGTGAAGGAGGGAAAGGGCAAGGAGAGAAGGGATCAACCTGCCTTTTCATCTCTCTGACCTCAGAGGCAATACAAACAAACTAAATTCTTTTTTAAGTCATATGTCAGCAAAAGGATTGCTAACTACAGTGGCTATCATTAAAATCGACATTTAAATACCACTACATTTATTATACACGTGGGGTATGTGAAACTTCCCACACTAACCAAGGCAACTATCTTAAATATCATGGTAAATCTAACTATAGTGGTTGGTGTATATCCAGCTTCTAACAACCACCAGCAGAAGCCCTGATAGCACAATCAATGCATGAGACAGAAAGAATAAAGAATGACCCTGTTTGCATGGTCAATAAGAACACTCACTTTGCTTTGATCAAATTTAATGGGCAGTCATTGAAAGATAATATGCAACAATACAGTGCTACTTTTAGCATGGGATTTGAGAGTTGTCAGTAAGGTAGAGAACAAAAACATAGTTAGTGAAAGAGGGGGAAAAAAAAAATCCAAAAACCAACACCCCAAAATTAGAGATTTAAGAACTTGACTCAAAGCATCCACGAAGATGTCAGAGCACATCATAGATCAAAAATAACGCAGTAGTAATGTCTACAATGCTTTTATTTAACATGCAGCATTCTGTATTCAGGTTTACAGCAAGAGTCACATATCCTTCTTTCCCTCCTTCTTCCACCCTATTTCCACGCTCCCTGGTTTTAGGCAGCTCTTTTAAGGACCAGAAATGGCAACGTCCTGTCGTGGTGAGCACTCAGTGGAAATGTGACTTGGGTAAGGTACCCCACATACTTTCTCTCAGGAAAATAATAGAGACAATAGCTATCCCATTGCGATATTCAAAGGAAAATAATACAGCAGCACTGTAGCCAGGGATTATTAGCAGCACAACAAAGAAAACCTGCTGAGAGAGTATGAAAATGAAAAACTTCCAAAGAATTCCAATCACCAAGTTATTTATGTAGGTAGACTGTACAACTACTTCAGCTCATTACTCACATCCTCAGCCTGTTCTCTCATCTTCTTTCTCATAGCTTGTAAAATTAACTCACAGTAACTTAATATTTAATATAAAAAGTAAACACTTTGGAACCATAAATCTGCATCACCAAATGCAACAATGTCCCCATCTGATTTTTATACACTACCAAAACTAAAATCAAATTCATAAAGGAGTTCATATATAACCATCATACAGTATATCCTGCTTTCTGGATTTATAATGCACCGATCACTTAATTATATTGACCTAGGAAGAACCATCACTAATGTACAACCTTCTCTGGGAAGGTGGTATACTAACACTGCATCTTTTTCACAGAATTCCTGTAAACTTGATGCCATTCTAACCACTCCCCTGAAAATATTTCAAGAAAAACAGGACATCACAGATAACCCA